CGTCGCCGAGAAGCTTGTGATACTTTGGCTCTTTTGCGCAATGGTTGGCTAGACGCGCCAAAAGCGTCCTCATTTCTGCCAGCACCTTCTTTGGATTCGTAAATTCATCCGAAACTGAAAAATAAAAATAGTGAGTCTTCCATTCACTTGATACAGTCGAACCTCGATAAATCGAACCTCCCCTCTGAAATGCCTCAGAAACAATGCATTAAAAAACCTCGATGACTCGAAAACGTTTTCCGATGTAAACCTGCATAACTCGAATTTTTGGGGCTTTTTGGCTATATTTCATTGACACAGGAAAGAAAAAAGCGATGAAAATGTTGAAGGAAAGTGACGGGCCAATTCGGGGACATGAACCCTTGCCTCACCCAAGTTCAACATTCTGTCAACTCATCCAAAAATCAATTGTAAGACCCAGAATATCACCGATTACAATTTTCTTTCTTTCCCGTAAGAAATGCTTGTTTCACTTGAAGCTCGACTTGAAGAGGCATTCGATCGTATTCCAAAACTCACGCGCGTCAGTGTTCAACAAAAGATCCACTACGGCCTCAAACATTTCAACATTGGCGCATTTCCCGGTCAAGTCCAGCAACCGGTTTGCAGCACGAATAAAGTCCTGCACCCTCCCCGTCTGGTAGCTCAGCAACATGAAGTTGGACCACACGTTGGAATCGTCGTAGGCAAACCTCACGCACTCTGATATACTCCGCCAGGCTTTCTCCTTGTCGCCCATCTCGGACTGACATCGGGCCAGGTTGTTCCAACACTCGAACGAGTCGTAGTCCAGGTTCAGGCAATGTCTGTAGGCTCGGGCTGCTTCTTCCCATTTCTCTAAAGCTAATGCCGAATACGCTAATCTGTGGCGAGAAGCAAATTAATACACGTTCATTACTGAAAATAATATTTCTCACAAGAAATCAGGAAGTTTAAAAATGCAACGGTAAAATAAAAAGTTAATGAACGCTACAAGTTTCAAAGAATGAAAAGAGATACTACAGCTGAACCTCAATCCTTCGTTACAAAATAATTTTCAAAGGTTCCTGAGCACAATAAAGAGTGAAAGGGGGACGTGGAGGAATTTGAAGACACTAATAATCCTAAACACGATCCAGTCTTGAACACTGAACGAAGTAATCCCTTCCCTTCAGCCTTTTCTTATGCATTCCCACCTTCATTTCCACAGATTAGAGGGAAATCCGAATTTTTTTCTTCTTTCTTTTTTCCCTTGTTTTTCTTTCCCTTGTGTTCCACAATTGCAACTGTTCGTAATAATTGCCAGTCTCTAAGAGACGCTGGCCTGTATCAGATACCGGCGGGAAGATTTATTTCAAGTATACGCCGGAGACGTCTATTAGACTAATTAGAGCATGTGCAGTACAGTATTTTAATTTCTACAAAGTTCGTACCAACCTGAACCATATCCCAAAATCGATGCCAGTCACATTCGAAGCATCCTGGTAATGTTTCAAACTCTCTTCGAACTCCTTCCTCTCGAAACTAATGTTGCCGAGACATCGCTTGGCCTCCACACAACGTCCCTCACTCAGCTCCCAGGCCTTTTCAAAGTCCTCCGCCTTCTTCGTCGCACAGCCCACCAAACACCAGGCGTCGGGCGTTTCCTCCTCAGCCAGAAGTTCCCGCGCCAAGTCCTCGGCCATCCTCGCATTCCCCACCGCCACGTGGCACAAAACAGCATCCTTCCACATCCCCGCAGAAAAGAACACTTCCAAGGCACTTTTCATGAGCCCCAGGGACACGTAAACGTCGCCCAGGAGACGACACACTTCCGACCGCTCCGGCACCGGCGTCGAAAAGAACAGCGCAAACTGCTTTGGTTTCGTGTCTCCGACTAGAAGCTGCAGTTGGGCCAAGGCCCTCTCCACTCTTCGACTGTGTCTCGACTCCATCTTGGATCTCAGGTAGAACGCCGAGTACCTAACAAACCACGGGGACCCGTCTTCCAGGGCCGCGTTCAAAAAGGGCACAGTTTTCTCGTCCAACAGGATGTCACTCGCTTCCGCACTCCGTATCCGCACGCACTCGCACAGCATCAACAGCTGCTCCATTTGGTTCAGTTTCCGTCGCACCTTTTCTCCGGGCTCCAGCTGAACTTGTTCGAGCAACAGGTCGTCGTTCAAACTGCAGTCCTTCAGCGTGGGCCCGCAATCCGGAAACTGAGGACACTCGACGGAAGGCTCGTCGTCCACGGCGATGATCAACTGGAGTTTCGGATCCACCTGGAACTTGGTACGCTTGCCCCAGGCTGCATCCAGGTTGAACGTGAATCCCGCGTCCGTCTGAGCAGCAAGCAACAATTTCCTACGCATCACAATTAAAATTTCATTACGACGAAAAGTGTAGCAATTCGAAAAGTCATCTTCACCGTCCTCTCGAGGAGACGGGATATTTTCACATTTCGAGGTAGAAATTTTTTTTTTAAAACCTAAGCTTACGGTTCTTTCTCATAATGTGCTACAAGCCATTGTGAAAATCCCTCACTAAAAAGGGTAAAATGAGCTGTCACAAAAAAAAACCGAAAATGAGTCAATTTTTTTTGTGCATTTTTAAGTTGATAACATTATGTCAGTCAATTTTTATTTTTCGCGGGACTCTTTCCTAATTTTTGATCAACAGGAAAAACAATTAGCTCAGCCACACTGTACAAACCTGTACCACGACAAAAACCCCAGCCGCTTCACAACATTGGCAATCTCCAACCGCAAGAGACTCGTCGCCAGTGGAAACTCCAACTCGGCGGCGAAGGTCGGCAACTCCGCCTCCAGGCCCTGCAAAAACGCCACCTTGGCGTCCAACGCGGCGCCACTCACATCCGGCTCGGCAAACAACCGCAAGTGCATCGCACGCAATCGCCACCATCGACACGTTTCCAAGTGAGACACACTCGTCAGCAATTCGTCGCAAATGTCGAGTAGGTCGAGTCGAGCGACGAGTTTCCGCTCCGTCGCGTGGAACCAGTTTGACGACACGAATGCGTACATGCACGATGCTGCGACACTCAGGCGCGACACGTCACTGTGTCCAGCAAATGACTCAGTTGCCAACACGGCTTTCCCGAGGTCTGACGCGAGGACGTCTTCGTGGCCCCCAGAAACCGCATCAAGGACCACGTCATCGGAACACAGGTGGTCGACACGCGCTCCTAACGAAGCGAGGAATAAATGACGCTCCTCCATGCCTGTGAAATAAACAACCACCTGACATTTGAGTTTCAAAACGACATTTAGCACAGTTCTAATTTTTTTTCCACAAGTGACGTGTGATGAGGATTAAAAGGGACAGAATTCCATGGCGTTCTGCTCAATGGTATGGTAATTCGAAACAGAAGTTTAAAAAAACAGGAACGAGATTCTACTTTCATTTACAGAAATAATTGATCGTGTTCATCTCCAAGTGCACGTAAAAGCAAGTAACGTACTGTGTCGTGTAAGTCGTGTAACATCACAAAGAAACCCCTGAAAAAAATTACTCAAATTTCTCCAGAAAACCCTTAACTATGAACTGGGGCGCGGTAGTCAAATGAGCACGCTAATTCGAGCTCGCCCACTTCTAGCGGTTTCATACTTCATTAGGAAGTGTCAAAAATCGTGATGCTGCTCTACTTTGAATTTTCTTTGCACGTTCACACATTGTGCTTTCCTTTATTTCTCGGCGGGTTCTAAGAATCGCGACAATAGAAAAGCTGTACCCATTTTTGAAATGCGAAAAGCATCAATTTTCGCTTGTACGTTTTCACGTGAAAATGGCTCATACAATGATGGATATAAAAAGCAAAATACTCATGAGAAAAGAGCTAGATTGAATGAAAGGGTCAACCTTGTATCCATTGCGTAACCGAACCTAAAAACAAAAAATCAACCAACTCGTTCAATTTTAAACTATTGTTCGGGGTGTGCGTGGACTTTTCAAATGCCATATTCTAAACTTCACGTTCTTTTGCTTCAGCTTAGTTATGAATTCGATTGGGGGGGGGGGGGGGTGTGCATTGAAATAACAAATTACAAGTTATCACGAATAAAAAAAATTATAAACCTGGAAAATGGGGAAAAAAGTTCAATCCTGAATCACACGTGACTTGCAAATTTTTAGGTAAATTTATCAAATGATACACTTCGCCGGTCTCGCAATTACCGCGCTTTATATCGCAACAAGTCAAAAAAACCTCACCGCTGCGACGGAATCTGACAAAAAAAAAAAGCAGCCCAACACTTTGCGCGACGCGAAGAAGCGACAAGAAATCCATGACCCACGGCATCATTCACGAAGTCGTTCCCGTACAATGCGACCAATACCACAATCAAAGAAGCACTGACACTATCATCGAGGTGTCGGAGACATTATCAACGGGGCGAAAACTAAGAGAAAAAAAGGACGACAGCAACAACAACAAAATGGTCGAACTTCATCGTCAGTTAGAAGGCATGGAACGAGATAACATCAACCTCATCTGAGAGAATATGAAATACGGTTGACCATTCTGAAATCGATGTCACAAAAATCTACACCTGCTGACTTTCAAGTTTCAACTACTGTATTCAAAACTAACTATTAATGAAAAAAGTACAACGCGAAGTTTCAAAAGCTCAACAACAAAAAATCACAGAAGCTAGACTAAAATTGTTTTCATCTAAGGATCTTGAGCACTCATCATTCGTGAACAAATGTGTCAGCTTCCATAATAGTGTCTTTTCATTCGAAACAGGATTCCAAAAATGTTATTCAAGCAGACAACGGATGGAGATGTTCAGTAACCATGAAGTAATCAGAGATTGTACCCAGAAATGATTCTCACCAAACGAAAAAACAAACAATTCATTGTGATTTTTTCTTCAGGTAAGATACGTGAAAGACGTTGATGAATACTTTCCACTTGGATTTTCAAACCACAGTCAGGTTAGTTTTAACCGTGAAGACAATGTATGGGGATGCTCAGAGCAAGTAGATTTGATAGCACTTCAGAAAATTGCGTGAAGTTGGTCTCTGTACTTGAAGAAAAACAAAAGTTTCTTATTACAGTACAAAAAGAGAGAGAGAATTGGGGAACTGAAGCAGTCCTTCATAGATTTTGTTTCGACAGAGGCGGTCGGCCGAGATATCAACACAGAAGAGGCACTGGCATCGCTAGGATCAAATTGCTTCCGCATCAAAACCCATCCACCGCAAAAACAAAACAAAAAAAAGACGCGAAAAAGAAGAAAATCCGGGATCATTAAAAAACAAAACAAAAGGCACTACGATCATCACTGGAGATTCAAGAAGGGATGCCGGAGACATTCAGCAGCCCTCGCTCTCTTCAACGGGTCATAGTGCAGCATCCGCGTGAGGAAGTCGGCGAACACTTGGGCATTCGTCTCGTCCCACTTGTACCGCTCTCGCAGAATACTGCACAGGTCCCAGGGCTGCAGTCGCTTGATGTTCCGTAGCTGTCCGTCCGGCGTAAAGTAATTCCGCGAATACTTTCCGCCTCGGGCAATGTGCAGCGGGATCGGGCCCAGGAGCTCAATGATGATGGCGAGATGGTCTTCGGCTCGAGTGCGATTCTTGCCGGCCTTGGGCTCAAACAAGTAGTCGCCGGTGGCGAGTTCGAATGCCATGCACGCAGTGCTCCAGATGTCGGCAGAGCAGCCGTACTCGGACCCCACCAGCACTTCCAGCGACCGGTATTGACGGGTTTGGATTTCGTCCGTGAACTTCTGGAATGTCCAGCACCCGTTGCCAACGTCCACGATCTTGACAGACAGGTCGCAGTCCCCGTCCACTCCGGGAACCATTTCTTCCGAGAAATCCCCGCCCCGGGCACTTTCCGACGACTCGGGAGACGACTTGCTCAAGCTCAGGGATGACAATGACTGCGACAGAGACTCGTTACTTGTACCTGAAAATTAAAAAAAAAGAGACCAATGGTTATTAAGGCACTTGCAACGGAATATAATGTAGCGGGAAAATGGCGATTGAGTCTTTCAAATATATCAGCTGAGAGAGTTGACTTACCAACGAGGAAAGGCGAGCATAACCGAATTCTAACACATGACCATTCGCAAAAACAAATAAAATTGAACTGAACTAAAACAAAAACAAAAAAACTTCTACGATGCACTGTGTAAAAGTAAAACTAGGTTTGCAGCAAAACGCAACGTCTTTCTTAAAAGCAACAGTAAAAGAATTCGTTTTCCTCATTATTCTCGGAATTATTATTATTCTCGGCCTCTATTTTTAAGTCGACACTTGGTAAAGGATTGCCGGATGAAAAAGATAAATCGAAAACCGAAACCAAAACGCCACGCAGAGCAGCGGTACTTTCCAGATTTACTCTAAGGATATTCTTTTATTTGTAAAGCAAGACAGAGAAAACCTCAATATCGGAACCAAAACTGGTACTTGAAACGTACACCGGAACCAGAATTATGCACAAATTTGTAATTCGACGCTTTCGAAAAGGGGGATCAAGCTTAGTATGCCAGAAACCAAGCACTACAGCTTTAAAAAATAATATTGTACCAACTACGACTCAGGTACACAGAAGAGCTGCTGATTGATAATTAATCCAAAAATATGCCAAGAAAAAAAACACGAACAGAGAAAAATTCGGGTGTTCTGATTAAACATCTAAAAATATAAATCGCACAGGCAGGAAAAAGCGAAAGCACGGAAAAAGGTCAATCGATAAAAAAAAAAGCGGCAGTACAGTACTTCTTGAATTCACGCTCAAATTTAATTTACAGTCAGTATTTACTTATTGAGAGAAACGAAGAACCTGAAAATCACAGCTCATACCGTGAATTCAACCAACAATACTGTCCCAACAACAACAACAACCCGAGATAAATTGTGCAATTCAAAGCTTTCGGATAAGCCGTTTCCGGTGAAAGACCTGCAATAAAATATACGCGAGGTATAAAGAAAACTAGGAAACAAAATTACCATCGCTTTCATTCACGTGAGGGTCCAAAGAACTGGCACGAACTTCAAACTGCTCCGGAGGCGTGGAATACTGCTCGTGATCGTCGACGTCAGAATCCATTTTCTTGTCAGATCCAACTGCAACATCTTCCAACTGTGCTTCGATGCCAAGATTCTCACAACTCACGAAAGATTCAGACGGAGATCCAGGTTCCAAGGGCAACACAGTCGCCTCCGTCACACCGGTTTCCGACTTGACCGACGAAATCTCTGTGGCCTGGTCACCGAGTGGCACACACTTCTGCGCAACGCGATCTTGTTGCACCATTTCCGATTCCGGGGAACTCTTGGCCACCTCAGCACCATCTCCAGCCATTTCGAGCGACTTGACAAGCTCGCATTTCACCGAATTCCTGCAATAATGATTTTTCTAATATTAGAACTACAGTTGAACCTCAGTAACTTGAACCTCCCTAATTCGATTTTTTTTTCAGGTCCTGTCTGAATCCCCTTAGAATTATTGCATTAAGAACCTCCGCAAGTCGAATTTTCTGTGGCTTGTTGGGCTGTTATCGTCTTGAAACAAGAAAGAAAAGAAGCATTAATAACAGAAATAGATTTGTTTTAAAAAGAGGTGAGAGACTTGATCGGACAAATGAACCCTGCCTCCAAGTTCAGGATCTTTTCAACTCATTCAAGAAGTAATTTCAGCCTCAAAATATCACAATTTACCATTTCTCTGCGTTTCCCAGAACAAAAAGGCTTTGTATTGTAGCTCAATTCAAAACTTCTCTAAGTCGAATTTTTTTGCTGGTCCCTTGAAATTCGACTCAGAGGTTCGAATATTTCAAAATCGAAAAAAAACATACACATCGCATTCAAGTTCGAGCTTACCGAAGGCATAAATCCGACCAATTTTCCCAGATACGTCAGTTACAATTGGAAAGATTACGTTTGATCGTCAAATTCGTAGTGATAATACAAATATTTTAAATATTTGGTATCACTCGGAACACCGGTAAATTAATACGATTGAACCCTACGTCTATTTTTTTTATTTCCCCGTCTGAATTCCTTCAGGGAGAATGCATTACAATACCCCTAACTCAAAGGCTTTCAACCCCAAATTTTCTGAAGGCCTTTCGGCTATTATTCTACTGGCACGGAAAAATGTAACGATGTTTCTTGAAAGGAGGTGAAATTATAATTCTGCAACTGACCCTTGCCTCTAAATGCAGCATCCCGTCAACTCATTAAAAAGCAATTTGAAGCCCAGAATATCCCGAATAACACGTTGTGATTCTTCTCTATCTCCCCCCAACAAAAATGCTCGTTCCGATTTTTTTTTCCCGGTCCCTTGAATTTTCGACAGAAGGTGTCAATTTTTTCCCACTCACGCATTATCCTCGCAGGACTCTCCCGAATTTTCCACGCCGTCTTCTTCCGGCATTTCCACACAATCGCTCGCAACCGCTTCCCCATTCACTTGGCAGACGGCAGCTTGTCCGTTGCGTTCCGCAGAACGCAGCAATTCAATCACAGCATCCAAGTCGACACACTCAGCACCGAAAATCTGATGTCTCGGCAGGCATCGCGCGAGAGCTTCTTTCAGCATCTCGTAATCATCACTCGTGGCCCCCGGGGCCCGGGCAGCCAAGTAGGCTCTGGTCAACGAATCCGCCCTCCGAGTGGACAATTCAATTTGCAAAGTGTCCTTCAATCGCTTCTCAAGGTACAACTTGAGACGAATCACATCAATACCGGGCCCGTAGAACTCACGCAGCTCCGCGTCAGTGCCGTGAAGCTTCCACATCACTTCCATTTCCTTTTCTCGTTCCTCGTTGCGCTTGCCAGTCTTCTTCATCCGCTTCTTCCGGTTCTTGGACATCTTCATTCCGAGCAGGTCAAGCACACTGGACGGGGCGGCGCTGATGAACGAAATCGGCATTCGCAACTCCAGTTTCCGCCGCTGGTAAGCAACGTAGGCCATTCGACGAACTTCACTCTCCTCCACTTTTACGAGCACATTTTCGGGTTTGATGTCCGTGTGGATGATCTTGCACTTGTCATGCAGGTACTCCAATCCCTCGAGCACTTGTCGGATTATCCGTCTAACGTTGTTCAGGTAAATGCCTATGTGGTAAAAAAAAATACATATTACATATAAATAGAAAGATATTCATTACACATCACGGCGATGTGCATCGTCAGCTCAAGAATAGGTTATTATTTGATGGAGTGAGTTAAGTACTGTATTACATTGGGTTAGTTCGGATGCCTTTCTCGCAGCGACGCGATTATTCTAAACGGGGAGATGGGAGCAATTCTTGGAATTTTCAATTCGAGTTAATAATATCGATCTATCCCACTTACCCTTGTAATCACTCTTGACGATAAGCTTCAAAAGGTTGTGTCCTAGTACTTCGAAAACCATGCAAACATGAGTTCCATGAACGCCAGACATCCTGAAATCGTCGTATAGCATGACATTTCGCTCCCTGAACGGATCGAAAGGGTCAGTGTCACGGATACAACGCAAAAGCTTGATTTCATCGAGCGCGGTGTCCGTGTAATTCTCGGAACTCTTCACGATCTTCAAGCCTACAAATCGGCGAGATGTCATATCCCAGGCCAGCCAGACAGTAGAAAAATATCCCCAGCCAAGCTTGCGCAGTACATGATAGCGGCCACAGTACGTGTCGCCGAGTTGCACAGGATGATAGCCGCCACGCCGGTAATCCCTGGGCGTCTCTTGCTCTTCGTTATCAGATCCCTTTTGTCCCTCGTCGTTGTCGTCATCGGAAGAACTGTCTATGTCAGAAGATCCACTTGAATGTGATAACGTGCCGGAGGAAGACGACGTGTACGATGAAGAAGATGAAGAACGGGGTTCTCCAGCAGCGTACGACGCACTTTCACCGTTCATCGCGACTGGCTTCTTCTTCCCTCTCATCCGACCCAACTTTTTCTTCCCTTGAGCCGCGAGTATTTTTCGTCTCAAGCTAGGGTTAGCAGAATTCATCGCAATTTTTCAAAACTAACCTGGAACATAATGGGATTCCTCAAATTAATACGTAATCGAAAACGGCGTTAAATGGCTAATAAAAAATTAAGTGACACACTCAACGACAGAAGAAAGCCTGCACCAGTCTTTCCTCTATCGTCTTGACGAAGAAGAGCACGTTTCCGAATGATTTCCGTTTCGCGAGAACCGCATGATCATGTGGACTTCGCATTTTATCATTCTTCTGATACGAAGTGGTTCATCACTTGATTCAAGCGCACCTTCATCAGATTGAGCAAAATATGCAGCAGTGGAAATCACGCATTCATACAAATACACAATCACTTTGAAAACACAACTCCACGCATGCAATGCAACTAAGTTTCCAACAATAAACTTGACGCCCACTTGGCGCTCAGCAGTTAACGCAATTTCCGCGCTGGTCTGGCATAACTTTTCCGTGCGTTCCTGGCCTGGAAATTGTACGGCCATGAGCACTTTACTTTGTATTCAAATATAGATGTCACTCCAGTACTATTGGTCAATCGTATCACAGTATTGGCCCCTATTCATGATCAACCTCTTGGATATAAATATATATAGCCATGGTTTTAGTCATTCATGAGTCGAAAAGACCAAATGAGGTTCTTTGAATTAACTGAGAACATGGCAAGTACACTCGCACAATCAACAAGTAGTAAACTAACTTCTAAGATCAAACTTATTGTTCCTCCATCAGAAGTGAATTTGCAGCAGCAACTCCGTGTTTCTGACAAAAACGGTCGGGAAATATTTGCATGAACCATAAACAATGATATACCAGTATACCTTCATATGCATCATTAGCCGTACGCGTAAAGCTGACTTTTTTGCAGGAAATTATGAGAAAATTGTTTTATATGTAGAATGGAAAATACAGTGGTTTGTCTGAATTGTCTCTCATCAAGAGAAACAGAAATCACGAACAAATCAGGAAATTGCATTGAACTACTACACATTTGTATAAAAAACATATTTATTCACAGATATTTTTACGGTGAGTATAAGGTCTGAACATAATTTTCATGGATGAGTGCTAAATAAATACTTGTACAGTATTAGTATGTGGTGTAGATTTTTTGGATAAATATCTATACCAATAGACATCAATTGCAGCCGTTATTTGCATGGAGGATGACTAAAAGCTCTCCAAAACTTGTTAAAGCCACTCTGATTGAAATTATCTAAAAATATAATGTCAAACATGATATTCCTTTTTGGTCAAATTTATTTTTACCTCACTATTTGTTCTCAAGCTCAAGGTGTGCAGTATTTGAAAATTGAGAATAACTACATTAGCAAAATAAACCATAAAATTTTGTTTGTGAAATTCATGGTTTCTGAAAAATATTTCCCTGCTCATTTACAGTATTAATTTCAAGACTTGTTAACAAACCATGTATTCCATCATAGAAAATAAATGACAGTCTGTTTTTCCACCTATATTGTATCCCAGAATATAAACAGAAAACTGAATACTGTGATGTGATTCATTGTCCAGCAGTATATTCAGTATGCAGTACTTATTATAGCAGGTCATATTTTTATGAATAAACAGGATGCTTCACAATTGTACACAGTATTGACATTGTATTACAGTAAAATCTCGTTACAACAAATACCGTTACAACAAATTTTTCGATACAACAAACTTTTTTTCAAGTCCCGGCAGAAAGCCTATAGACTACATGTTAAATAAATCTCGTTACAACAAACTTGGGAATTCTGTTATAACAAACTTTTTTGAAGCAATTTTTTTGGTTTTTTGTGGAAAAATTTGGAAAAATTTCTTGAAATTTGCTTGTGCTATTCACCATTGAAGCCTGAATCAAAAGAGGCCT